TCTTAAGGCCCTTTTGTGGTTTTCGCTGGACATGGATTATTTATTTAGACCATGTCGTGCGAAAACAGGTCCTAAATCTGAATGGTTTCTCTCGTGTTGGCTGTGTGATCGTTTTTGTCATGCAAAGTTACCTCGTATTATCGGCCGTGTTGCTGATGCAGTGCTTGATCTCTCAAAACGCTTACGATGGTCGTGTCCTGACTGTAGAAAGCGGGACATAGATTTCTACAAACTCTTCACCGAGACGAGAAAATGTTTCTCACATTTGAGCAAAAACCTCAACCCCTTCTGGGAGAAATTTGAACTAAATCACACTAGGTTTGATGAGTGTCGTTATATTGCGCAATCATCTTCTTCCCCAGCTAGCAAAGTTACAACATGTGGCGTAGCCTGTGGTTCGTCACCTCTGCGTTCCCCTAAGTCCGATTCGTCGGCACAAGTTAGCGATTCCTTAAAGTCTACAAAGAACTTCATCGTTTCTGAAGTGGCAAGGATATCTCCTCCCATCGGCGTCACTCAATATACTCAGGCGTCATCGCCTAAAACTAATAATGAGAATTATAAATCGTCCTCTCCCTCCGGCTGCTCGAGTGTGAACGCTGTGCGCCAAACTGAGCACGTGGCACAACCTGCTCGTGCAAGTGTGGCACACCATCTATATTCTTTCCAACTGAAAACTCCCCAGCCGTGAAACCTACTGTTCCTAAATTGTTGCTTGACGGCACTTCCTCCCTGAAAGGCAATATTTGTGTCAAGGCTGGCACCTGATACATGTGTGGATAACATAAAAAGTTATCTGGCGGGGAAAGTCAAATCAGTCAATTTAAAGCGCCTTAACATTTTCAATTTGGCTCCTTCTCAACCTAGAGCAATCTCGCCTTTTAAAATTCTAGTTCCGACTGTAAACATGTTGTTATATTTAACAACAAGGAAGGTGTACGGTCACCAATCTGTTAGAGTTTACTTCTCATGTTTTCAAGGCTTTTTCTAGTGGCTCTCGCACTGATGTCATACACACTAACTTTAGCAAAGCGTTGATTTGATTAACCATAAACTACTCATCTTTAAACTCCAAGCCTCTGACTTCTCTTTCTGTTTACTGAAATGGTTAAGCTCTTATCTGCAAAATAAATCATTCAGGGTTTTGTTTAACTTCATTACCTCGGATGAATTCCCAGTGACGTCTGGCGTACTTCAAGGCAAACACTTAGCACTCATTTTATTTAATTTATACATTAATCACCTGCCCTCGGTGATTAAATCCAACGAGATCTTAATGTACGCTGATGATGCGAAACTTTTTCTTCCTTTTCTGTAAATCTAAATCTAAATAAATGTAAGAAGCTTTTCAAGAAGGAAGTCATTCATTACTCAGTATTTCATTGATTCGCACAAGTTGTAGGACGTAGATTCTTTCACAGAATCAGGCATTCCATTTGACCATAGGTTAAGTGTTAACATGCATATTAAGCTCCCGTTAAGCAAAGCGGTTTTATAAAGAGGTAGTCTAAAGAACTTGATGATCCTTACATTACGAAAAGGGTGTACATGTGTTTGGTAAGACCTATACTCGGGAGTACCTCTATTGTGTGGTCTCCTTCATGTATGTGCTATGTAGATTCAATTGAATCTGTTCAAAAGCAAGTCTTGCTGTTTGCGCTTAGGAATTTGGGTTGGACCCGATTGCCTCTCTTCCATCCTATGAAAATAGGTTATGTCTACTATCCTTACCGTCACTTGAGAAACTTGGGGTTTCCTTCTTAATCGAAGTAATAAATGGTACTATTGACTTGCCCTCATTACTTGGTGAGATAAGCTCTAATATCCCTAGCCGCTTCTCTAAGCACTTTATCTTGATTAAGCTTAGTCAATGTAAATACAATTATGAGCTGTTTAACCCGCCCAAAGCTGTTTGCAGAAACCTAAATGATGTCTATCACTTATTCTCATTATTAGACTCTTTCAAGTCTATTAAAGCAATTTTGCTTAAAATGCGCTGGATCTGTTCTTGTCGCGGGCATGCTTCTGTGCTAGCTGTGTACAGCATGTGTGTGCAGGTGTGCTTCTGTGCTAACTGTGTTTGTTAGGATTTTTTACCTCTCCCTTTTTATTTATTTTTATATGAATTATTATTTTTAACTTTATAATTGTTTTTAAAATTACTTTCTTATTATTATTCTTCTTTCTTTCTTCCCTTTTAATGCATGCTAATATTCGATTGTAGTTTTCTTCAGTTGAATTTCATCTATAAATAGGTAAAATAAAATAATAAAAAGGTAAAAAATATTATCACTTTAGAGCAGCACTTCCAAGAACGAAAAGTAAGGTTTAGTTTAGTGCACGTTACTTTTACAAATAGAAAGGAAAGCGTCTATATAACAAAGTTCACCTATACGATATTGTTATTAAACCAATATGGTCGTGCGGAACACAATTACGTTGAACAGGCTGATCCTACAAAGTAGCCAAGTTGTAAGGTGTCGGTCAAAGATCTTACGTATAATAGCAGTTGCTGCGTTGTATATAGCCGTTTCAAATACATAAACGGACTTAAATATTCCGGTCTTACTATATTCTTACCAACTTCAATCTCTGGAGCGTTATTTAACTTTTTACCTACATCGAATTATAGAGTCAAATTTATTAATCAGTCGGTAGCATCCAGTGAGATTTTGAATGGAAATTTTTAAAACATCAAATAAAAATTCGGAAATTTTATATACCACACAGACAGTGGTGTAGAAAATATTACCATTCTTTTTAGTACGATTTCAAAAAACTTCTTGATCAAGAAGTCTGTGCATTAATATGCAGATTTTTCGTCTTTTTCAGTGCACATTATTTTATTGCCCTAGCAACTTGCTTCCTTCATACATAATTTTTTATATTCTTAATGTAATATATTGTATTATTATTATTATTATTATTAATTTCGCCAGAGAAATAAATTCTAAGACTAAACTCTTAAAAGCACTAGCATCTAAGGCTATCGGCTTATAATATATTATATATTAGTATACCTTTGAGGTTTGTTGTTTGTTGACATTGGAATTAATGTTGTAAGTTGTTAGATATATGACTTTAAAAAAAAAAAATCAAAAATTGTGTTATAAAATAACTTGAAAAACGATCTGAAAAAATTTTATTATTATTATTATTATTAATTTACTAATAATAATAAATTCTAATGCTAAAGTCTTGAAGCACTAGCATCTAAGGCCATCAGGCTTTAAAAATTAACATAAGGACTTTAAAGGAAACAAGAGACAAAAATAACTAAAAAAGGACTACAGACGCATAAAGAAGAACAAATGAAAAATTTTGAACTAAAAGGAATTTAAAAAATATCAAACTTCGGTGTAGAAATGGAAGAAAAGTAAAATACAAAACGGTCGAAAGCGAAACGGAAAAAAACTTTTCCTCTTTACGTGTGCGAAGATTAAAATAACTACTTCCTTACCTTTACAAAAGTGTTAAAGAAAAATTCGTGAGAACTAAAATATGTATGCATGCAATGTGCTAAATAACGAAGTATATTATTGGATCATTAACTATTTCAGCAAACACCTGTCTGCTCTACCCTGAAAGTCACTATAATTCCAATTTAGCCAATAAACCTGTGGAACAATAATGACGTCGCAGTTAAAAGTAAAAATGCATTAATATATTTTCAAAAAGCTCTTTCGTAGGTAATTCTGACAATACATACAGAATTAACCCTGCATAAATATGTATACCCGTGTTCAAAAAGAGTAGGCGATCTTGCCATATCTATAGGTGCCAATAATTTCGTAGCGTTTTCTGCTAGGAGACCGGCCCCTACCCTAATAAAAAAAAAGGTACTCACAATATGTATGTGTTTAAAATCCATAATATGCTCAGTATTTCTGATATAGATGCATCTAATGTGATCTGGATTCCAGGTTATTGCGGCTTCCATTTAAGTGAAAATGTTGATCTCCATGCTCGCGAAGCCCGTCTTGATAGAAAAAGTCCTCATAGAAGATTAAGGTGCTCAACAGGCTCATGTGCAATGACACATATCACAAGGTTTATTTAAAGATGGGTGGACGGGTGTCATCTGATATATGTGATGAATGTCACACAAAAGTGTTAGCTGAGCATCTTATTTTTGTGTGCAGTAAATTCAACAACACTAGACTTCCATTTGAAATTTTCAAATTTATATAATAACTTGTATGAAATCTTTCGTGCTTGCAACAAAACTCATCTTAAGCAGTTAATTGCCTTTATTAAAGGTGCTGACTTCTCCTTTTAGATTATTGTAATTATAATTGAACTGGTTTTCTTGTCTAGTAGTGTTTTTACAAATTTTATATACTCATATATCAATAATTCCTATACAGCCATAGTTTGATATCAATCTTCTGAACTTAACGCCAGAACGGACTGTGTTACAACTTGACTTAGTCAAGACAGATTAACATCGTTGAATCATCCGTAATTCAGTTACAATCTTTATGTGATCTGCGTCCTCTTTTTTCTCTGTTATCATCTTTGTCGCTATAATCAATCTAAAGAACAATTTGTGTTAAAATCTTATAACGTTGGTGGCTATATAGGTGTTTATGGGCCTATTTGTCTTTTATGTATTAAAAAAAAAAAAGAAAATGAAATCTATGTAAAATTTGTGTTAGACCATAATATAATAAATTAATTTGAATGTTGAAATGATCATACTCGATTTACAAGAAATTTACATTTAAGTGCCAGTGAATAAAAAGTTTTTTCAATCAAAAAGGAGGTAATGCCTTCAATATTTTTCTAATTTTTATATAAATTTTTATGCAAATTACAACTTTAAAAATTACTTATATGTTTAAGATAGTTAGAATATTTATAAATTTAGTGCCAGTAATCTTCTAACTTCCTCATCCGATTGCCTTAATTTACAGGCCGCCTCGAGTTCTGGAGTAATCAAATGATCTCCTTGCATTTTGTAGTAGGCGCAAATGTTCTACAGTGCTGCACAAAGGTTTGGGACTCTTCCCATCTTCCTTGGGCTGTAGCAACTCTTCTCCTCTTCGCGTACAATAGGTCAGTGACCTAGAAAAATATTCAAAAACTGTAGTTAGAGTTTCGAAATACTAAATACTGGAATACAAACCTTTATGTACAGCAATGAACCTTTCCACAATATTCTTCGCCTTGCATGGATTTCAATGTATTGTTTTTTAAGAGATCAACTTCGGTAACGTGTCATCAGTCAAGGCTCTGAGAGGCACCTGAAAAATAAATTGGAAAGATGTAGCTTTTTGGCGCTCTAATTTTTTTCACGGCTTACCGCGAAGCTATGCGTTACTGTCTCATTGCAAATCCTTCAATGAAATGCCTTCACATGTGCGAATCATGGGAAAATCCAGATAACTTGAAATTGACTGGTACGATTTTCATTTTACAGCTAGAAAGAAATGTGTATAATTCATATAAATAGAAAAAAGTAACACACAAATGTTCAAATTACACCTAGCATTCCGTTCAGGCTGTGGTTTCCTTTCCGATCAATCATAACTCCTTCATTTTTCGCTAGCTTTGGCAAGCCTGTATGCGTTCCATCAATACATCCGATCACTGTAATAAATAGTAAAAATTTTGTAAAGGTCGTTTACTCTAAAACAGAATATGTACGCACTGGTTAACATTCCTTAATTTATCTACATCTAAAAAAAATTGTACTTAGAAACGAATTTACAAACTTGACTTCGGGCCCACTTTAAATTTTTTTATATATTTTTCTTTATAGTCGTCTTTCTACAAACGCAGCTCTTAAAGAAAGATTTGTGGTAACTTTTCTTGGTTAACACACAATATTAATGCAAATTTGTTCCAGCGACAGCAATGTCATTGTCGCCAAATTTCACATAAGTCACAAGCAAATTTGCCTACATGATTAAATTAACTTGGTCGCGTAATTCATTGACCCCTTACATAATTACACCCAAATCACGTCTCATGGAGCCAGTTGTTATTAAAACTGCTGGCTCGTCCATTTAAGTTGACAAAGCTATAATTAAATTTTTTGTCTCGTCTATCAGTAATTTTATTAAATTCTTTCAAACCACAAATTAACAATCCGCATACAGCTATCGTTTGATATCTTTGTCAACCCCAAAAGAACAACTCATTAAAAACTCACCATATTATGGTCTTAACATATCAAAAAAAAAGGTACAAGGTTTCTTCATTATTTTATTCTTTGGTTTCTTTTAGACCCTTTATTTTAAATTTTAAAAGTGTCTGTTTGGTTATTCAGCACTAAAATATCTTGATAATATTTCATTTTTCGATCCGAAAAATTTTTAACATTTCTGTTTGGGCCAAAACACATCGTTTGACCAATTTTCATGAAATTATCTCAAAAATCTATAGCATGAACGCAAGAAAGCACGACAAACAGACTGGCAGATGAGCTTACATCGATGCATCTATACGTAGAATAAAAAGCGGGTCTATCTTAATCTCTTCTGGGTGTGGCAAACATTTGCATGAAGTTTACGTAAACTTGTACCACAAGCGGTGTGGGGTACAGAACGTAAGAAAATTGTAACTGTTTATTGTTAAATCTTCTGTACTCACCACGGCCATCTTAGAAACAATACAAAAAGTCAAAGACAATGAAATTCCTACACACAAAAATGTTGAATTTGCGTAGGCGAATTTTCGCATTTTTGAGTATGTACCGTAGGATCACTCGTAGAATATATGTGAAATTTGTATTTGTTATAGATTAATAACTAATAAGCTATTGTTTCATTTTCTTCGATTTTGAAAGCGTTTATATTGTATTAAAAGCGTGTCTTTTGATGATTCGGCTCATTTCTAAGCCCCATCTGCTTGCAAGAAATACCAGAACTAAAATGATCAATTGAATTTTTGCGGCGGAGAGAATGCTCAGCTCTGACGAACACAGAGACTGAAATTAAAGGATTGGATATATCTTTATCGAATAAGTATATTAGACAGATCAATATAACAATCTTTGACAATAACTAACAACAAAGTTATATTCGAATTCTTTTACTTGATACCCACATCGCTGGTACTATTAAGAAAAAATTAATCGCGGTTTCTACTATATTCATTTTAAAATGAACCCATTTTTAAGCAGACAATATATTTTCATTTGGGGAGTGTACAAAATAGTTTTAAACATTCTACCTCGTCTGTCTTATGATTGTAAGAAATAAGACCTCAAAAAAGTGAAATAAAAAAATTTCATTATTCGTAACTTTGTGTGGGCATAACCGATTGGTTACATTTTTTGACGTAAAGAGTAGGGTAATTCGTAAAGTAAATTTGGACAATTTCAGCCTTCTAAATTTAATCGTTTCCGAGTAACGAGCAAAACTCCAAACATTTTTAAAAGTTCGTATGAATTGCTTCGTTATAAAACATCCTTGTTTAAAGAAGAAAATTAAACGATTACTAATCGGTCCAATGATTTGTTTACAAGTACCAAAAGATTATGTATATATAAAGGCAATGCAATAATGTCATATATATCCAACACTTTTGTACACAATTTTTGAATGGCACGATTTTGCTAATAAGAACAAATGCATTTTTTTATACAATTTTTTTCTATCAGCACGAATGACAAGAAAAACTGGTTTTAAATTCTAATATTGACTTTGCGAGTGATTTGGTCTTTGACCCGAATATTATAGATAGAGTTCTACAAGTTGATTTTCATTTGTTGATGTTCCAGTACGTAACAAATGCACGCTTGTTAAGAAGTGACGATTGGAATTGATTTTTATACCTAATTTAAATTTAAATTTTTTTATGTTGTTCTTATGGATAGAATTTTCCTTGTATTCTAATAAGAGTGAATAGTTATTCTTTTGCATAGGTTTTCGGAAAATTATTTAGAGTTTTTTCATTTTACGCGATTGTTTAAAGTTGTGTAATATATTACCAAATTTAGCATACGTCGCATGTACAGTCTTACACGGTTTTTTTTTACCAATTTTTAAGGAACGTATCTACCGTTTAAAGAAAGTCTTGGCCTTATGTACATATTACATACCTTATATATATTTAAACCCTTTTTATATATATTGTAAGGACTTTTGCCCATTGCTTGGTGCTGGGGTAAGCTGAGCAACACCAGCGTCGTTCTACTACAGAAATTTTATGATTTGATGCTTTTCTTTAAATGTTTTAGAATTCAGAAGCTTTCACTTTATTTACTAATTTTTCAATTTTGCTTATAATCAGCATCAATAATGCTATTCGCTTTACCAGCTCAAAACGTACTATCCTATTGCCTAAATTTAACTTACTCGTAGCCTAGACTTAACTAACTCCTCGTTTGGATCCCTCTTTGTTCTGGTTACCCTACTCGACCGGACCAGTCTGCCCCTCGGTACGGACTATTTGAAGCCAGCTCCTCTTAGCCCTAGGATCGTCAAACTTCCATTGCATGTCACGGTATTCTTCCTCACTTTCTTTCGTTGACGATTTTGACGCATCTGTCAAAAACAGAAATTCACGTTTTAAGCTTTACATTTAAGGATATGTATAATTCAATAGCCGAATTCATAATCGACGCCAACCACTTCATCGTAAACTTCTCGTTTCTTGATAGGAGCACTTAAAGCTTGCGAATCGCTCTCCGCCTCGTGAAATAAAGGTTGCCTATTAAAAAAAAAAGTGTTTGCTTTACATTAATTTCATGTTGAAAAAACTATTCAAATTTTGTCATAAAGCAGTATGATATTAACTTACATGAACAAAAACGAGTCGACTTGTGTTCAGTGTAGTGTGTGTTTTCTTTTCGTCTGCGTTTTTTCAATTGTTTCGGTGTTTTCGGTGTTTTTGTGTATTTAACTTCTGTCTTTTCAGTGTTATTGCTAAAACAGGTTAACGCGGATATCGCGTATGTGCTTTTGTTTCGTCTAATATAATAAAAAATAGAAAACAAAAAAACAAAATAAAAAAAAATTGAAAACATTTGACACTTTTCTTTAGTAGTTCCCAACCTTCTTCCACAGTTCCCAAACCTTTTCAAGTGAGTGGTTATTTTACAAATAATAAGCAATAGACAACAATAAGGCATAATGTCCCCGGGGCCGCCAGCCAAAAACTCGACTAGATTTTATCTATTAAGTGAAACATCCCCCCAAAGAAAAAAAAATAAAAATTCAGATTTTCCGGTGTTGCCGATCAGCGATATAACCCCTATTGATAAAAAATATATTGTTATTTCTTCAACCGATGCTCGAATAACAATTTCCCAAATTAGCCCTTTTGCTATAAAAAAAGCTCTTGATAGCATTACAACATACATCGACTCCATCTCGATTCTACGCGATGGGAATTTACTGGTCCTCGCTGGGAACCCGCGCGCAATCGAAAACCTCATAAAGGCCAAATCTTTAGCTAATCTATGTGCTATTTCAGCTAAACTACATGAGAAACTTAACTCGGTTCGAGGCGTAATTTATGACCCTTGCTTAAAGCATGTGCCGGAAGATGAAATTGTTCGCGAAATGGGCATTCAAGGAGTGACTGAAGCATTAAATTAACCAAACTGAATGATGACGGAAAAACACGCTCTCCTACAGGAAGGATTATTTTAACTTTTGATCGCTATCGATTACCGCGAACAGTTGATGTGGCGTGGTATAAATGTAAAGTAGAAATATACATCCCAAATCCTATGAGGTGTAAAAATTGCCAACGCCTGGGTCATACGGCAAAAAGATGCACTAATGCTGCATCTTGGGCTAACTGCGGTCATCCTCCACATACTGAAAGCTGTACCCGTAGTTTCTGCATAAATTGCAATGATCAACACTCAGCGTTAGACAAACAATGCCCAC